AATGTCAAATTCCTACACCTGTGTTGCTATATTTTAGTTGTTTTGGGTGACACTTAATATCACCTCCCCATAGAATAGAGAAAAGCTAAATAATTAAATGCTGTACTCTTCAAAATCACTTGTTTACAATACTTCATACCATTGATTATAATCTTATTTCTGAATGTTTTGGAGGAATGTGACATAATCAGAATGTTATTAAAACAACTTCATCACTGCTATCGATGATAAAACTGCTACAGCTTATTGTAATACTTATGATGCTAGGAATATGAAAATGTACCCTTAAAAAGGCGGTTAATCCAGTATTCAATCTTACTGGGGGTTCCCAGATGAGTTTATTAGTCCTATACAGTCATTTTGACCATTATGGATCCCACACAATCCTTCCCTCTATTACTTCACTTCCAGCAACAATTTGGATCTCTTTTGGGATATAAAATAAATATTGAGACTAGTGCTCTTCCTGTTACATAGTTACATAGCTAAAGAGAGACATGTGTCCATCAAGTTCAGCCTTCCTCACATTTGTTTTTTGCTGTTGATCCAAAAGAAGACAAAAAAATCCAGTTTGAAGCACTTCCTATTTTGCAACAAGCTAGGAAAAAAATTCTCTCTTGACCCCAGAATGGCAGTCAGATTTATCCTTGGATCAAGAAGCTATTACCCTACAGTTGAAAAGTTAAATCAGTGAATATTCTATTTTTGCAAGTATGCATCTAGTTGCCGTTTAACCCCTTAAGGACCAAACTTCTGGGGAAAAAGGGAATCATGACATGTCATGTGTCTTTAAGGGGTTAAACATCTGTACAGACTCTGATAAAACCACTTTTTCAGGCAGAGAATTCCACATCCTTATTGTTCTTACGGTAAAAAAACCTTTCCTTTGCCATGGATGAAATCTTCTTTCTTCCAGTATAAATGCACGTCCTCGTTTCCTATGTAAAGTCCGGTTTGTGAATAGATTTCCACACAATGGTTTATATTGGCCCCTGTTGATATTTCAGTTGAGGACACATCATAGCTATGCGCCCAATATGGGTTCCAAGTGGAAAGGTTGGCCATCTCATATCTGGGGGTGAAACTCACAGCTGAGCTTTCATGCAAGTGTCCTGATAATTACGCTCCCCTTATTAGATCTCTTACTGAGACCTTAAAAAATGGGAATCTAAACCCATGTCATAGATTGGGAGAATCCACGATGGCAAAATGAATATCCTCCTATGCAAATTGTTTTACTTTCAGGCTTACAAAGGTCCAGTCAGTAGGAGCAGCAGTGTATCTACCGCGAGACTGACAAGGCATTTGCCTTGGGTGGCACTTTCAGGGCACAGCAAAAAAAGCCGCCCACCAATCGCCTCGGCAGATGCCATGTCACCGTCTTGTCTTGAGGGGGCACAGGAGCTGTCCGGCTGGCCACCTCAGGCAACCCCAGAGACTGGCATGGGCTCATGTGGGAGGCGGGCGGTGAGGGAGCACTCTCTCCTGAGCTCTTCCTGCTCAGCTCCCTCGGGCGCCCTGTAGTGATGCCGGAGCCAGAATATGAAGTCAGTCCGGCTCCAGGCTTCACTAAAAGGTGCACAAGGGAGCTGAACACTAGAATCACCTCGACTATGCCGCCATTCCGCCCACCCGCCACACCACCTGCATTGCCCTGCCAGCCCCACTGGACCCCAGGGAAGATTCCACCAAAGTGTGAGTGTTTTAGTGTATGTGTCTGTTAGTGAGAGTGTGTGTGTCTCTATTAATCAGAGTGTGTCTGTTAGTGAGTGTTAGTTTGTGTCTGCTAGTGAGAGTGCATGTGTGTCTGTTAGTCAGAGTGTGTGTCTGTTAGTGAGTGTGTATATGTGTTTGTCTGTTAGTGAGAGTGTGTGTGTTTGTTAGTGAGTGTTGTGATGGACCGTCTGGCACCCTGACTGGGTGCCTCCGCCAATCGCTGCTTCCTAGTTGCTTTGAGTACTATAAGCACCGCACCAGACACCATAAGCACTGTAGCCCCTTTGCCGCCACAACTTGGCTGGGGTCTCGCTATCCTCCACCCACCCTGGGCTCCAGATTCCAGGGGGTAGACCTCTCCTCCTCCAGAGAACATAGCAGGTCTGGCTGTGTAAATCTTACAAGAGCTAGTGATTATAGCCAGTATAGTAATACGAAGCAGGTATAGCAGGTATAACTGGTATAGCTGTTCCCTACAATCATGAGACGAGGCTGCGTGTTGAGGGTGAAGTAGACTAGTTTTAATGGGGCCACACTTGGCCTTTTATGACAATACCCATGCAAGGGGTACTCCCACATGGACCTGATGGAAGACTGAATTACAAACAGTGTTACAATACATGACACTCCCATATATAAATGGATAATCCCTCTTCTGGTCCTGGGAGATAATTGGATCAGGAACTGTACTAATGAAGTACAGATAAAACACACTTTTTCCCAAACACCCCAAAAGTACCCCAAAAACAGTTCCAGAGAATCAAGGCTTGCAGTCAGTCTAGTTTGTTAGTTTGAAAACGAGAACACCCCTCATCCACATGAATGATTTCACCAAACAGTGCCCTTCTAAGTTGTATAGAACCGAACGCAGGCGATGATAAAAGTCCAACGGTGTTCCGGAGTTTATATGTCCGATTTTAGTTCCATGAGATTCATGCCCAAACACCGCTGCCTGCGTTCATGCGAACAAGATGGCCGCCACCTCGTGGTTGTCCATAGGAATTGCGGCCATCCAGATGAAAAATTAGAACACTGCAGTGAGAAACGTTCCAAGTTGTTAATAGGTGTTAACAAGCTCCAGGGTGGTCTCTGGTTCATGCAATTGTTCGGTAACTGAACCATATAATCCCAATTGCACAGAGTCTTTTTAACATACTTAGGCCAGGTCTATTGCAAGGGGCCATAGACCTGGGGCAAGAGGCTGTCATGCAGGCGTCTGTCAGTGAGTGTATGTTTCTGTGAAAGTGTATGTTGGTTAAACAGTGTGTGTGACAGTGACTGTGTATCTGTCAGTGAGTGTATGTCCGTGTATGGATCAATGAAGGTATGTGTCTGTCAGGCAAAGAGCATGTTGGTTTTTAACAGGAAGTAAAATTTAGAAGGGGGGTGCCTGTGTTTTGTCATGTGCCTAGGGCAGCACAAAACCAGCATGAACAAGGAAGTTAGGCAAAACAGGCAAAGGGTGAGTGGATAAACTTAGATGTAGAACTTGCAGAAAAGTAGGGTTTTAGGCAGGGCCGCCATTAAAAATTTTGGGGCCCCTAACACAGCTCATGGACTGGGCCCTTGGGGGCCTGCCACCATATCCCGCCACAAAAGGCTCGCCACCAAATCTTGCCCACAGGAATAAACACACACACACAAATACACAGACTGATACAAAAGGATACAAATACACACACAAAAATACACACACAGACACAGGAATACACACAGACATAGGAATACACAAACAGACACAAATACACGCACTGATACAAAAGTACACAGACACACACATACTGAAACAGTATATATGCCTATATGTGCATATGTCTGACACACACATACTGAAACAGACATACACACATATACAGACATACATAGTAACACACACACACATACTAACATACATACAGACACACACATGCATAAGGACATACAGACACACACACACATACATACAAACACACACATACATACATACTGAAATATATACACATACATACAGACACATACATACACATACATACACCATACACTGACAGACAGACATGCATTCTGACATACATAAATGCATACATACATACTGACAGACATAAATACATACATACATACAGAAATACTGCCATGCATACAGAGAAACATACTGACATACATACATACAGACAGACATACATACAGACAGACATACTGACATATACACTGACAGACATATGGACATACTGACATACAGACATACAGATATACTGACATACATACATACATATTGACATACAGACATACTGACATACAGACATACATACTGACATACAGGCATACATACAGATATACATACAGACAGACATGCATATAGACAGACATGTATACAGATAGACATACAGACAGACATACTGACATACATACAGACAGACATACATACAGACACTCATACATACAGACAGACATGTATACAGACAGACATACTGTCATACAATAAGACAGACATACCGACATATACACTAATAGACATACGGACATACAGACGTACATAAAGACAGACTGGCATACAGACATACTGACATACAGAAATTCATACAGACATATTGACATACAGACATATTGACATACAGACATACTGACATACATACTGGAATACATACAGGCAGACTGACATGCAAACAGACAGACATGTATACAGACAGACATACAGACAGAAATACTGACGTACATACTGACAGACATACAGACATATATGCATACAGACAGACATACATGCATACAGATAGGCATACTGACAAACATACAGGCATACTGACATACATACTGACAGACATACATACAGATAGACATGCATACAGACTGGCATACAGACATACTGTCATACAGACATACATACAGACAGACTGGCATACAGACATACAGACAGACATGCATACAGACAGACATGTATACAGAAATACTGATGTACATACTGACAGATATACAGACATATATGCATACAGACAGACATACATACATGCATACAGATAGGCATACTGACATACATACTGACATACAGACATGCATACTGATAGACATACATACAGACATACTGACATACATACAGACATATTGACATACAGACATACTGAAATACTGTCATGCATACAGACATACATACATGCATGCAAACAGACATACTGACAGACAGATATAAATACAGACATACTGACATACATACAGACATACTGACATTAGTGATGTCGCGAACCGTTCATGAACTTGCCGCAAACGGTTCGCCACGGTTCACCACGGTTCGCCACGAACCGTTCGCGGCGAACTCAGGTCAGCTGACACATCCCTGCCCATCTCCGGCAGACCCTCCCTCCCAGACCCTCCCACCTCCTGGACAGCATCCATGTTGAAGCTGCCTTCAACATGGATGCTGTCCAGGAAGTAGGAGGGTCTGGGAGGGAGGGTCTGCCGGAGATTGGCAGGGATGTGTCAGCTGACCGGAGTTCGCCACGAACCGTTCGTGGCGAACCGTGGCGAACCGTGGCGAACCGTTCGCGGCAAGTTCGTGAACGGTTCGCGACATCACTAACTGACATGCATACAGACAGACGTACATACAGACATACTGACATACATACAGACATACTGACACATACTGAGAGACATACCGACAGACATACTGACATACATACAGACATACTGACATACATACAGACAGACATACTGACATACATACAGACAGACATACTGACATATACACTGACAGACATATGGACAAACTGATATACAGACATACAAACATACATACAGACAGACTAACATACAGACTGGCATACCGACATACTGACATACAGACATACAGACATACATACAGACATACTGACATACATACAGACATACTGACATATACACTAACAGACATACTGACATACATACAGACAGACATACATACATACATACATACATACATACATACATACAGACAGACAGACTGCCATACAGACTGGCATACAGACTTACTGACATACAGACTAGTGATGTCCCGAACGGTTCACCACGAACGGTTCGCCGCGGACTCATCATTGAGTAAACTTTGACCCTGTACCTCACAGTCAGCAGACACATTCCAGCCAATCAGCAGCAGACCCTCCCTCCCAGACCTTCCCACCTCCTGGACAGCTCAGTAAGAATGCAGCTTCAAAATGGATGCTGTCCAGGAGGTGGGAGGGTCTGGGAGGGAGGGTCTGCTGCTGATGAGTCCGTGGCGAACTGTTCGTGGCGAACCGTTCGGCGAACCGTTCGGGACATCACTAATACAGACATACATACTGACATACATACAGACATATTGACATACAGATATACTGACAGACAGACATGCATACAGATACACATGTATACAGACAGACTGACATGCAGACATACATACAGACAGACATGTATACAGACAGACAGACATACTGACATACAGATATACATACTGACCTACATAGAGGCAGACTGACATACAGACATACTGACAAACATTCAGACATACTGACATACAGACATACTGACATACACACAGACATACTGACATAGATACAGACAGACATACATACAGACAGACATACTGACATACATATAGATATACATACTGACATACATAGAGGTAGACTGACATACAGACATACCTTCAGCTTCTCTAGCAAGGCAGTGGTTGTCTTGGAGGTGTGTTTGTGGTTGTTATCCTGTTGGAATACTGCCCTGCGGCCCAGTCTGGGAGGAGATCAAGCTCTGCTTTAGTATGTCACAGTACATGTTGGCAGTCATGCTTCCATCAATGAACTGTAGCTCCCCAGCGCCCATGGCTCAGTTTTGAACCGGGGCCCCATGGATTGTGTGTACGCCACTGGCTGTACACTTACTACTTTACATTGTAGCAGAGCATCATTTCTTCAGTGTTGTTACATGAAAAGATATAATAACATATTTACAAAAATGTGAGGGGTGTACTCACTTTTGTTAGATACTGTACAGACATACTGACATACATACAGACATACTGACATACATACAGACATACTGACATGCATACAGACTGACATACACAGACATACATCTAATTTTTTCAGCCACCCTCCTGTTTCTTACCTTTTTGTTGCAGGAGGGTGGCTGGGGATGATGGGAGTCAGCTGCTTCTCCCTCGTCACTGCCTGGTTGTCTCAACTTCCATGCAGAGTAAGCTGGCAGTAAGTGACTGGCCATCACTTCCTCCCAGCAATACTTGCATTTTTTTCAAAGGGGCCCGGTTGCAGCGCTGACCGGGCCCCTGAATATATAGGGCCCATCAGGTGGCCCTAAATGCTGGGGCCGACCAATGGGCATAATCAGCTACAAATGGGGCCCGGGAGGCCGGGCCCCCCAGGGCTGTTGCGCCCATGACAACCGTCATGGTTGTCACCCCTGATGGCGGCCCTGATTTTAGGGGCTTTTTAAAAAAATGAATACTTGCTTTTGTGTTACTTCATTATGTAGTAAAAAAAAATCATTTATTTTAACCTATAACTTCATTTTAATTATAAGAGGACAGAAAATTAGAAAGGGAAGTTAATAGATGTCAATTCAGTAGAACATTTTTCACCAAGACAGATCAATCCACTAATAATAGTACATTTTGCAAAAACCTTAACAGGGCTATCCAAGAAAGAGAGAAATCCAAATTTCCTTGTGGGAACAGGTCTAGTAAATACCAGATATTAACAAGAGTTTTGATTTTGAGAATTAATAACTGCAAAGTATGTATGAATAGGAAGACCCAAATATCAACATGGACTACTTTACAGGGACACTGTAGACACCCAGACTACTTCAGCTCATTGAAGTGGTCTGGGTGCAATGTCCCATCACCCTTAATCCTTGAGTAGTAATTATTGCAGTTTTTATAAACTGCAATAATTACCTGCTAGGGTTAACTCCTCCTCTAGTGGCTGTCTATCAGACAAACACTAGAGGGACTTCCGGGCTTGAAGGCGACTTTTGGTCACTTAAACGACGTTGGACATCCTCACGCTATGCATGAAGACTTCCAGCACACCGGAATTCCCATAGGAAAACATTGAATAATGCTTTCCTATGGGAAAATCCTAATGGCATGCGCATTAGGTCTTCCCCGCCAGCTGGTGTAGGCAGGGGAGGAGCATGGGGGAGCTGAGCCAGTGCCGAGGGACATCGGAGCTGGTCCCAGCTAAGTGACAGAAGAGGTTTTTAACCCCTTCTTTACCACGGAGGGGCTTGACAAAGGGGGAAGCTATGTTTGTTTCCCTGGCACTATCGTTTCCTTTTTGATAGTGGGCATCGTTCTCTTAGCACTATTTACTCTGTATGTTCTACTTACTGGATAAGTTCAGTTGAAATATATGGGAAACAGCTATTTAGTGCGCAGAGAAAACACTTAGTCCTGTGATTCAGCATTCCTATGCACCTGTTTAGAATGATCTCTATTCTAGGGGTAAAAATCAGGAGGCCTGTGTTAAACTTTCATGTACTTATAATAGTTAAGATGAACAATATGTCGGGTAAATAATCTATTTTATTACATGTGTGAATATATACTGTACAAGTGAATGTTTATGAGAATTGATTTGCAGTATAAAAAGGGACTGTTTCTATTTAATACACCTGATTATCGTATTATGATTCATATAAATATATAAATATAGAATGCTGAATTAATATCTCCTATCAAGAATATCTTTAAAAAGTCACTTAAATGATGCAATTTACACACATATTTAAAAGGATGTTTTGCACTGTATGTTATTCACTTTTCTCATTTTGTTCTGAAAAGGGAGGGGGATTTTGCACCTTTCAAACAAAGGATAGCCATGGGGCCAAGAAATCTAATATGATTCTCTTTGAATTATTTAACACATTAGCTATGAGCACAATGGCTATATATATGAAAATTACCTGTAAAAATAATGTAACTTAGCAAGTGATATTGTGTGTCTTTAAGCTAAAAAGATTCACAAGCATCAGATGATACCGATATTTCAACATTGTTAATCATGCTCAGAGATTCAACCCAACTTGGTCTTAAAGTGAACCTGTCACACAAAAGGTGCATTTGAAAAGATGCTATGGGTAGTTGGTACAACTAAATTACAATTGAATCTATACATTATATATGATGTGATTATACTAACACAATTAGCTAAAATATATAGATTGTAATTTCAGAATATGTGAGCACATGCTGTCTAGCTCTGAATGCTTCTGTTTCCCTTTGATGCAATGGGCACAAAGGAACCTTTATAGGATACAGCATTTATCTTGTTAAAATGGTAACGTTTATAATGGGATACAAAGTCTGTTAGAGATTCAAACAGTGCTATTCACGAATTCTGGAATTCAGATAGGGTTATTCACTAAATACCAGATTTTGTCCGGATTGACAACATATTGTGAAAATTACCGAATTCCGAGCGTAACAGCAATCCTCCTATTTACCAAAGGCAAATCTGCCTTTTCAGCAATTGCCTGAATGCATTAGATGTCCCGATTACTCATTGCTTTCGTGTCCGAACCTTATAAAAAGTATAGGGTTTAGAAGATTCATAAGACAGTAAGTGTTAACCAAATTTGGGAAAAAATGCATGCATTAGGATGCACGTTTACAAATGATAATTAACTTGCTTTTTGTAAGCTAATGATCATTTTAAATTTTAAAAAAATTAGCGGCAGGAGGATTAACTATATGGCGCCTCGCATCACTTGCTAGCCAGCTGCGACATGAAAAAAAATTAATAATAAAATACAAAAATAACCTATGAGCGTCAATAAGATATCTTTATCACTAAAAGGAGCGTGTGGGGCAGCAGATGGGGGCATATCTACTTAATATTTAAAATTATCGGCAGGGCAGTCAGTGTAGTGTGCTAAAGTTGAACATTAAAACCTTAAGGCAGAAACTACTGATTTGAAAACATTTTAAATTCAGTTTTAGTCAAAGCTCAGAGAATTACAGTAATTAGAGTTTAAATTGTTAAAGTTGAATTTTTACCAAACAATGGAATTTTGGAGAAGTAACATGGCAATTTGAATTTTTTTGTTCCAAAAAGACAAGGTAAAAATAGCAAATTATGAAATGTTTTCCAGTGTAAGTGTTTGGTCTAAAATGTGAAATTTCTAGCTAATTCAGCCCATATTTTTTCTGGTCTGCACACTTTGTGAGTGTCATAATGCATTGTTTGCAATGTTATAAAAAGTGATACTCACCTTGTCACTGTGTTACTAGACCTTTTCTATAATTTCTCTCTAACATTGTGCATGCTTGCACTCAGGGGTCCAAATGAGAATTTATGTCACAGGACCAGGGAAGTTACGCACCTTGCATAGAGTATCAACAAACGAATAGCTGGTGTATTAGTCTAACAATTGCAATGTTTTGGCTTGTAAAAGTCCCTTTGGAGTAGAATGACTGTATTTCTCTAGGCACTGCAGAATACGTTGGTG